GCCAGTAATCAGATTACGGCATTTGTTAGCATAGCGATTAGAAGAGCACCTCTTGCTTGCTTGCTTCACATTTTAACTGATCAATAAATGCCCAAATGACACAGAAGAGAGCACATTTTGTTAGACAGAAAAACAGAGCAGAAGGGAGGGGGGAGTGGAAGAAAGATATTTCGAGACTGTACTGGAAGTCATGTGGTATTTCCACAAGAGGACCCCCTACTTCCTGGTTTCTGCCTAAGCCCCTCCCATGCCCTAATATGGTCACTGTTTAGAGTAGCATGTATGTTGCGTCACTGCTGAAATTATGCAGCTCCTTCTTTCTCACCCCCTCCCCATCTCCGATCCACGCTGTTTTTTGTTCTCAGAGTGTTTGGCTGTCCTCTTATGTACTGCCTTTACAAGCGACTGCTTATTCTTTTGAACAGGCTGTCCTGTCCTTGCATATTACTTAACGCATTTGTAAAGTGCTATTGTTAGGAGAATTCAAATATAGATGTAACACAAAACAAAGAAAATCTTCCCTTGCATATTGAGGAAACACACTGGCAGTATTATAAAGGGAAAGTTTTTTTTTCTCATGAGAAGTCACCAGAGGTCATCCCAAAGGACTAGTTTTTATATTTGCATTAAAATGTGAGAGCCGTATTTGCATAGAGAATCTTGTTGCACATGGGGAATTTCTTGTCTGACCAATGCAAATTGAATAGTTTCATTTTTAACTAATATTCCTATTCATAGATCTAGTTGATATTGTCAAATAATATTTCAATTTCTGAGTTGCACATGGAGTAATTAGTTGTGAGAAATTAACAATAAAATGACATATGCATTGATAGCAATTAAAATTCAATGCATTTATTACAGATATGCCTTTCAAAGTATATTTTTAATATTGTCAATAGTGTTGATGTAGTTACACATGACCTTCAACAATAGAAATGAGCAAATAAGAGAAGATGGGATGAGTATTTCATGTCAAATATGAAGATTAGTCGATAATCTGTTTTCTGTAATCCGTCTCTGGTGTTTTCCACCAGCAGCTTTCTCTTACCAGCAGGGCGAGAGTTATTTTAGAAAACCACAAATGTATTGCTCGTAAAATGTATGCTTGTGAATGTGTCCGAGGACTCTGGACTTTTGTAATAAGCCAGGCTGCCACATCACAGTCAGAGCTCCATTGATTTGAGTTTTTGTGCGTAACCTGCTTGTAAACACTCCTCACCTACACTGCCCGTCAGCATCGCCCACTTACTGAGTGGGACACTAGGATGGCTCTTGTGGTTCCGGTATGAGTGACCTTTGAAAGCCCACATGTATGCAAACACGCATGCACAAACACTGCGTTTTCAGACATCTCATTTGCACAGCTGATGTTTGTTTTCTGATTCAAATGAGATACAAGGGATTGCCTGGATGAATATGAAAATGAGATATAAGAGGAAGAGGCTTTTATGGTGAATAAGGTTGTTTTGCTCCGTGTTAACTCTATTTACCTCTGACTTACAGTTGCAGTCTGCAGCCTCAGAGATGCAGTAAACAGTGCATGCATGCTTTAACATGACTCATATTAACAGCCCCCATGCAGTGCATTAAACTCTATGAAAGTGTCCAGCTGCTTGTTAACCCTGCTGCTGCATTGCGCACAGATCAAGCATTCAAATGCAATGTTGAAAAAAGTCACACAATGTCATCTTTTACTCCATTTAATGACCATTCAAAGTGCAACCAACTATTACCCAATGGTTCACATGATATATAATCCATGCCAACGTGAAAATGAAAACAAGAGAGACTGATGCTGTGTGTTTCTAGATACATTGAGTACCCTGAGTATACAACAACATCCAAGGCACATCAAGACATTGAGAAAATGATTATCAAATTATAGATGCAAATAGTAAAATGCCCTTCTCTGAAGATACCTGCAATGCTTTTCATGTCGAGGTCAAAGCACTGTGATGCATGCATTGAGAGCTTTAGAAGTCTTTGGAAGTTGAAGTTCAAACTTGTAAGATTATGATTTTGTATTATATAGGGTTTGAACAAAATACTGTGAAAACCTGGGAAATAGGCAGGTGTTTTTCCACCATTAGCCTTTAATGCAGTTTCCAGCCTTAGAGTATATTCATTCAACTTTTGCATCATTTTCTGGGGAATAATGACTATAGAATTATCTGCCAGTTGCTTCAGAGATGTTGGAGGAGAAAATCTGCTTCTCTTTAAAACTGCAAACAGTGGTTTAATAATAGGTTAGGAGATTAATATGGCCAGGGTAGATGCTGTAGTTCATCTTGTTGCTCCAACTGTCCAGGTATTATGATCATAACTCCATCTTTTTTGCAATTTTGCATTGGTGTCTCTGACTAACATTACAGCAATTGTAGCTCTTTCATGAATTTTGTCTTTGTGAAGTTGGGTTTTTGTGGTCTTCAATGTGAATATTGCGATTTGCTGCAGTAGTTCTGTGTTGTTTTGGACACATTCCTTGTAGTGTTTTACAGTCCTTATCATTCACTTTCGGTTTTCACCACTATCCTAAAGTCTTGCCATACTTTGTGTATGCAGTCATAATCGCAAAGACTGTTGTTCTTAAAACACCATACAGTTGGGCTGTTAAGTTTACAGAAGCTCCTGCTAAACAAGCTCCCATAATTAGTCAGACAAGTCAATCATTTCACCCACGACTTGGACTAAACATTGCTGAACAACGAAAAGATAAGTAAAGAGATTTGTTTTCATAGAGTTTTCAGAGTTATGCCCTGTTGACATCTCTAGTTCTTAGAGATTCGCTGTCTCTCACCTCCTCCTATTCCACCAGTGCTGAGCGTCTGGAGTCTGGCAGCAATCCTGGGCGCTATGCCCAGGTCAACACTTCGCAATATTACAGACTCAAGAGTGTTCCCAGAGTGCAGCTCAGATAACTGCTGCATGGTAGATCTGCATGAGCTTGTTTGAAGGATTAGATCCTTTGTCCTCATGCACCAGAACTGACGTCAGTTTTGATGCTTTGCAAAGATTTGCCTAGAACTGTCTTAATGTGATTTAACTAAAAACACTAACTGAACCAATTTGCTTTCCTTTTAAGAGCATTTCTCAGAGGAGGGAGAGTGTTTGGACATCTTGTGCTGCACATGAAGCCAAATGCAAATTCCCTGCTCAAGAGGACATTTTCTTCCTCGATAGAAGTCACCAAAGTTCATCCCAAAGGATAATTATTTGCATAAAAATTTGGGTGTGACTAGTGGGGCAGGGCCAAGAACCATAGGAGTGGAGCGAGGAGGAGCTCCGGAAGGATAAAAGGAGGAGCGACGACAGTGGAAGATGAGAGAGGACCAGGCCTGGACTTTATTTGTGATTGTGTGCGGCAGGCGTCCGTGAGGGGCTGCCGCTTTACTTTTGTGTTTATTTATTTTTTTATTGAATGGTTTAAATGTTCGCCGGTTCCCACCTCCTTCTTCCAGTTCTACGAACTGATACAGTGGGATTGCAGTCTTTAGCCTCCTTGTTAGTGCGTCCGCCTCCCATGCCAGAGACCTACTCGGAGCGAGAACGAGGTGTGGCGGAGAGGACCCAGGGGAAAGGGGTTACATTTGCATAGAGAATCTTTTGGAGTTCACAAGTACACATGGGGAAATTTTGTTGTCGAGTTATGCAAATGAACAATTGGTCAGTTTTTAAAATGCACTGATCTATCAATCACAGTTTTTTTATGTGATATAATTATTATAATAATGGGCAATATATTTACACATTAATTTTTTTTAAATGCAAGTACCTCAAGGTACATTTGAATCTTCAGCATATTTTTGAAAATAACCCATGACCAAATGTATAATTTCAAGATAAATTGCATTCATTAGAAAAGAACTATAAATATGTTTTCAGCAGAACCAGCAACTGGATTCATCCACATTTTTGGTAAATGCAGCATAACACATCATGAAAACCCCGTCCCTTAAAAATCAGGCTGGGAATTGCAAGCACCAGCATGTTCTTCCAGCCTCTGTTCTCACACTTTTATGGAAGTACATTTTCACACACTCGTTTTTTTTTCTCCATAGGGAACAAAGCTTTCCCTGAATCCCATATTCTCTTTCTAGGTGGGGACATGCAGTTTCTGCCTGCGGGCGAGAGTTCTTCATCAACTTGAGTTGTTTTCTTTCTTTGCCTGGCCTGCTTGACCTGTTTCTCTTGCTGCAGTCCCGGAGGAACTGGTTCCTGTTTGTGAACTCCTGTGAGGAGCTGAAGACTTGTGCGTGTGTGTTAGAGGAAAAATAATTAATCTCATTCCTGCTGTAACAGACAGAAAGTTCCGTGTCTGTTTAACTCAGCAGGCCTGTTCTGTTACCCTACTTTAAACAAAACTGTTGTCATTATTTATAATGCATATTAATTATATTAATGCTTAGATATGCTTGGTATTTGTGCCTCGTCCCAGCACACAATGTACAATTCAGGTGCAGTTTCTGTAAATGTTTCAGTCTTGTGATTTAAGTCTTTTATGGAATGTTGTTTATGGAAAATGTGAGTGCTGCTTACCAGTGCAAAAGTTGAGACCACAATGCTAAGGTGTTCTGGTTGTTAAGCGACTGATCTATGTCAAATAGCCCATCCAGTCAACGCCAATAGCCTTGTGGGCAGCATGCCGACATACAGCACTGTTGCACTACAGGTGTCCCGAGTTTGAATCCCAACTCAAGGACCTTTCCTGATCCCACCCCCTATCTCTCTCCCACTTCGCTTGCTGTCAGTTCTGATCTGTCCTATCCCAATAAAGGCAAAAATGCCAAAAAATTTAATAAAAATAACCCATGAAGCCTCTATGACAGGGGTGTCCAAACTCAGTCCTGGAGGGCCGGTGTCCTGCAGAGTTTAGCTCCAACTTGCCTCAACACACCTGACTGGAAGTTTCTATGCCTAGTAAGAGCTTGATAGCTGGTTCAGGCGTGTTTAATTAGGGTTGGAGCTAAACTCTGCAGGACACCGGCTCCCCAGAACCAAGTTTGGACAGCCCTGGTCTAAAGTATAGCTTACAAATAGATGAAGCATCTGACCCTATCAGTGGAATGGAGAAAAGGTATTCAGCACATTATTGCACTTCTAATATCAACAGCAGGTCAAACTGAACAGCAGAAACTGTTTTTCTTTGTGAAAGATTCCCTTTGAAAAATTGCAAAATTCTGGACTTTTGGTAGTTCCTAGGATAGCAAAGTCCACTAAAGGAGGTAGAGCTTTTTCACATTTGGCTCCCAAACTCTGGAATAGCCTTCCTGATAACGTTCGGGGTTCAGACACACTCTCTCTGTTTAAATCTAGATTAAAGACACATCTCTTTGGCCAAGCATTCAAATAATGCATCTCATAATATTTTACTGCAGTTATATCTGATCAAATGCACATTATTATTCTTTAGTTTGGGTTAAACAAATCAATTTTACTTGGTTGGAACAGCAGCTATGCTAATTATGTTTCTATTGTTTCTCTGTTTTTTGCCGTGGGATTGACATCCCGTGGTACCTAGGATTTACACAAACTTCAGTCTGGATCCAGAACACCTGAGAAGAGAAGATGCCAACCCCTCAGAGGACCTCAGATGATGCCAACCCTGAAACAGCATACAGAACTACCACATTTTGTTATAAGTTTGATTGCATCATATAATAATCGCTGTTAATATGACTTTGAAAAACCAAAGCTCAACACTCAGTCCAAAATATACAAATGAGATGAAAACACTCATTTCTGGTTTAAGGTCGGTGCTGTCCAAGCTGCTTATTTCTGAATCATTTGCTTTCATCTGTGTTTCCTGTTTTGAGTGAGGCTATGTTGCATTTGCAGGTGGTGGGAAATCTCACATGTTTCACACCCACTGTGTGCCCCTCAAAAAACACTGCAGAAGCAAAAACATCTGCTGCAGTCTGTGGGAGAACAATGAATTAAAACTCAAAGCCCAGAGCCCAACACAAATATACAATCTTAGGGTTTTTTTAGGGTCTTTCCTTTCCTGTTGTCAGCCACTCTGTGCGTGAAGACCGTGAGAGCTGAAATTATATAAGCGCTCACATGACTCAAGCTGTGAGAGGGTGCTGTAAGGAAACAAGCATGGGCCTGATGGCTGTGCTTCCGTAAGATCTGATCACCACCTTTTGGACCATGGCTGATGATGCAAACCTCAATAACAAGGAGAGTCCAAACTTGCTCCTGGAGGGCTACACAGTTGCTTGAAAGTTTTTAGTGGTGCCCTGTCCCAAATCGCACCCTAATCACACCTATGCCATTTGGGACAGGACTTGAATCTAGAGAAGATCTTGAATGATGTAGCTCATTAAGGTGTGTTTATTTAGGGTTGGAGTTAAACCTTGCAGGACAGTGGCCCTCCAGGAACAAGTTTGGACACCCTCTCAATAACAGATCGGGGACTGGAGGACTACCTTTCTGCAGAGTTCAGCTCCAAGCTGGCTTCAACACACCTGCCTGTACTTTTTAAGCAATCTTGAACACCTTGATCAGCTGGTTCAGGTGCATTTAATAAAACTTTGCAGGAAGTTATATCTACTGTTAATCCTGTAGTAGATGATGTCACGTCAACTTGTTTCTGAAATCTTGAAATGGCTTCTTACATTTGTCACAAACACTTCTTATAGCAGTGGTTCCCACCCACGTTTCTGGATCAACACTGCAGATTTTCCATCCCTCTGAAACTCCCCTTTCAGATCTTGGAGTCTCTACTAATGAGCCGATGACCTGAATCAGGTGTGTTTGATTAAGAAGACATGCAAAATGTGGAAACCACTGCCCTATGGGGCCTGTTCACACCTGGTCACTTCATGCGTTTTCTCTGATCGGACAGCAATCCGATCGTGAAAAGACCATGCCCTCTGAAATGCATTTAAATCCAATCGCTCAAACCACTTCAGGAGGTGGTCTGGGCCGCATTCCAGGCTAAACTGGACAAGTGTAAATGCATCTGGTTGTTGAAACCACATTTGCAAATTTTACTCATGCCAAAATATTAAAATAATAAATGTGTGAGAGCATTTTATAGGCTATATGGCATGTTATAGTCAGATATGACAGTGCTAATGCAACACGCATTGCTGCGGATGAGTAGCTGAGTATCTCTTCAGCAAGCCGAAGCGCAAACTGCCACAAATGAAACTGAAAGTAAGTCGCAGATGCTCAACACACAATTATCTTCATTAAAAGTAGTGAGACTACCCTATCTTTCCAGTGCTGATGCTGTGCTCTCTCCTGTTGTGGTCTTTGATCTTGAAATTTGCTGATAATTAATAAAATACAGCGCTTATCTGTTGCTTTCGTTAATGTGAACTCCGTTAAATTTGCATATAGTTCAGGAATAGAAGACCGGATTTATATCCATTTTGCGAAGACACATTTATGTGGCCAAGTGTAAATGGAAACATTTAACAAATCAGATTGATATCCGATCAGAGAAAACGCATGAAGTGACCAGGTGGCAATAGGCCCATAGAGTTCGCTTGCTGTTTGTTAGGTGATAAGGCATCAAAAACTTTGAACCAGAATATATGTGTTGGGCCATGACTTCTCTGCTAAACTTTGATCTGGAATTAATTTATAAGGCCATGAGAGGCAGCCTATTAAGTCAAGAAGACAAATCCAAATTACTCATTCTTACCTGTGGCTGTGAAGTGTTGGTAGGGCAAGAGTTGAGATGTAGGGTATGACAAACTCCCTTCATTTTTCAAATACGTATGGAAATTAGGCTAATAGGAAAAATGGTTAACGAGCTGCTAGCTTCTGAATATCTGAGTGTGTTTGTGATTAACCAGCCCTGCTGAATGTTTAATGTACTGCTCTGATTTAACAGCTTCCATTGGACCTTTTCATAATTGTCACCTAAACCTGATTCCTACCTTCCAGCCCTGGAATTAACATCTGATGTCTCATCCACAAGAAGATGATTTAGGATCCAGATGAACCTATTTATGACCTTAGTCATAGTGTCACCCATAAACAGGTTTGAGGGTAAGTCAGAAGCATATTTTATCCCACTTAAGCACTGAACTTTGAGTTAACCTGATGAGAGTTGGTATTCTTTTAACTTTGACCTAGTTTGCCTTGAGAGTTTGTGTAGCAGCCCGTCCACCTGAATGCATGTATCCTGACGCGACCCACCCTTTTTAGCCTGCTGGAATTGTAAATCTCCTCAACACTGCTTTTCAGTTACTAATGATCTCCACAGGAGCCTTGCTTCACAACACAAGTTGATGTCAGGCAGAAATATCTCATTTCATTTCTCTTCAGAGTCGGCTTTGATGCGGCAGCAATGTCCTTAGTTGACTCTTAAAGTCTCGAGAAGGACAGCATGTGTACTTATTAAAAGCCTGATGGGTTTCTAATGGGAATCTGATCTGATGCATGCATTTTAAGACATAGATGTTCCTGCAAGACTAATGCCGAGGTCACACTGCACGATTTTAGCCCGATTTTTCACTCGCCGACAGGTTTTGCAAAATCGCCGACAAATGCCCGAAATCGTAGGCAAATCGTTGCTCGTTCACGCAAGTGACAATCACGCAGTGATCACGCCCGAAATTTTTTTGGCATGCTAAATATTTGGAGCTGTCGGCGATTCACAATCACGCTGTGTGCAATGATTTCTGACTGAAAACTACTTCAGCGATGACCTACAGCCAATGAGAGACCAAGATACAGGGCAGAGGGAAGTTCGGGGAGGAGTTATAGACCAGAATATCAGTATTTTAATAGATAGATGCACTTTGGTTGGCATACAACTTCAAGTAAAAGTGCCAAACCCTGTTTTAGTATTTCCTCTGGCTGGCTACAAATTAAGAGTGCATCCAACTGAATCCCTATTGTTTATTTTGAAGGAGAGATAGTTGTGCACAGCTGAAATATCATCCAGGCTGCGCCTCTAATGACACAGCACTTCACTCTAACACTTCAAAAGCTGTTATACAGTGACCTCACTATCACTGTGCAAGTGAGATGGAATATTAATGATGGTGCTGCACCACCTTTGTTTTCAACTCTTCTCCCACGGTAGAGGGCTTGCGCAGGCCGCTGGCTGTGTTTGTGTTTGGTTTGTAACGTCTGTTGAAGGGGTAACGTGCTGAGGGTCTGTTGTATAAACATCGCATTGAACATGACGTGCACGGGGCCCAACGTTGATGTCAAGGAGAAACTGGGAATCAAATTCCTATCTCTAAATGCCTACGCAGGTCACACACATGCAAACGTACGTGCATATGGGTAACTGTGCACTTTTAAGTACAAACATCTAAGTTACATACCAGGAATGTGTTTTACTCTTTAACCCACAGTTTGTACCTTGATGAGAAATTCACATCATTGCACGTTGTCATTACCATCATAGCCAAAAATATAGTGTTGCTGAACTTGCAGTAATTACATTTTTAAACTGTTTAGAGAAAAACTGATTGTTGTAACTGCTGAGCAATAGCTACAGCTGTTAGCATAATCTTAAAAATAATGAAAAAAATTGTGTTGTGGTAAAGAGTATTCTGAAATTTGAGTAAATAGTTTGAAATTTGCACTGCAGTTTTTATTACACAAAGATTTCAAACTTTTTTTCAGTGCTCTTTAAGACTTTTTGGTTTTTGATTTGGTTTGCTCGGGGATTTTATGTAAAAACCTTTGTGCAGGCATGTTTTGATAAAAAATGCTACATTTTAATCGCAAACAAGAACAATTAAATCGGTCACAACTTAGCAATGCCCTAGAAACAATCCAGAATTTCCTAGCAATCACAGAGTAACACCTAGCACTGTAATTTCTTCAGAAAATCTGAATATCTAGTTTTCCCACAAAATAAAATAAAAAATCATATCATAAAAAACATATTTTTATACGTATAACATATAAATAACATACATAGTGAGCATCAAGTTAAGCGTTAAACATCTGAATGCATATAATATTCAGGATAAAAGAGGATAGGGATAAAAAAAAAAAAACACTATTTTAGCATGCACATTTGTGCAGATATTTGCTACTATAATAACACACTCATATTTCCTTCAGAACGTTTTCCAATGAAATGGCATAAAACTCTTATTAAATTAAGCATAATCATATTTGCCGGTATGCAGCTAGTTATTATTCCTACAAGCTCAGCACATCCCTGTCCTGATCGGATCAGCACATCACTGTCCACCAATCAGGAGATCTTGTGTTGCACTGAGCTCATGCACTGACTCACCAATCACATGATTTAAAAGGAACCCCTCATCTGTTTTTACTCCTCCCTTTCCTGCTTTTGCTTTGCTCTCTCCATTTCCAATAACACGGTGTCTTCCGGGAAAGAGAGAGGGAACCGAGATTGAGGCTGGCTGTGTGTGTGTGTGTGTGTGTGTGTGTGTGTGTGTGTGTGCGTGCATGCAAGAGCGCCAATTCCCTCTTTTTCCTCCATGAGGTCAGACTACATTTTGTGTTGCTGATCTCAAGACTGAGCTCTGCATGAATGCAAGCACAAAAAAAATCATGCAATAATCCTGTTTATTATTTACTACCGAATGACATTAACAGGATAGTTCACCCAAAAATGAAAAGGACCAGCAGCTATATGGTTTCCTACATTTTTCAAAATATCTTCTCAGACAGGAAAATCAAACATGTCTGGAACAACTTGAGGGTCAGTAAATCTTTTCATTTTTGGCTGAAACTGACAAAAAAACATGGCACGGTGACCGACTTAGGCACCATGCTGGTTCTCCCTACAGACATGTTCTCTTGGAAAAGGTCTGAACCTGTAGTGTACACATGTTAATTAAGCTCCTCCCAGAACACTTTGTCTCAATTTCCTAGTATTGCTTTAAAGTGAAGTGTGCCATTTCTTTGTCATTTGCATCCACAGAATTGTTTACCTAGCGCTCCCCCATCTGCCATTGGTGGGACAAACAAATAGCCCCGCCTCAAATGCACGTCATTGGTTGAGCCACTGTTACCACGTCAGGCTGGTTAGGTTCTTCAAAAAAACAGGGAGATGTTTTGAAAACACTGTGGCAATAATATAGTATGGGAAGTCAACCTACAAATGGCTTCATCACAGTAAAGTGTCTTCCAGTCAAGGCAGTTCATTTTGGTTACACCTCAGGCAGCTAATTTCTGAACGCAACAGACGTACAGCTACAATTAAAATACAATTGTTAGGTACATGTACTTGTTCATGTCGTAATGCAAAACATGTTTGCTGCTATGGAGGTGGAATACTGGTAAGGTTAAGACAGGTTTCATGGTATCGGTAGGTTTAAGGGTGGTTTAAAAGAGTAGGGCTAGGGTGTAATTACAGATGTACCTGTAGAAGTTACCTAGGTGTAATTACATGCACTTGTTTTTAAAAATATGAAAGCAATGGAAAACCATTATGTACATGTCAGACCTGTGCTCCCCGTGACCCAGTTTCTCCCTCACGTTGATTGTTCATTGATGTCAGGTGTGTCTCGTCTTGTCCCACGTTATCCTGTGTATTTAGCCCCAGTCTGTGTTTGTCAGGCCTACATGTTGGGAATATTCCATTCATTCATACATAGAGACAGCAGCGATTCTACAACGGGTTACATTTGAGAGATACTGAGTTAGAAAATAGAGTAAATGAAGTAGCCTATAATATGATTAGTCTGATTAACATGACACACACACATTTTTCTTTTTCTTTCTTTTTCTTTCTACCCTAAAAATGTGCAGCATATTGGAACTACTTCAGTGATGCTTAAAAATGCTCAATTATAAGATTTCTTTTGAACATTTTGTGGTCACTGGTCCCATATTTCCATTGGCATATTCAAAAAAAATATATATATATTACAAATATTAATATAAAATATATATAAAATATATAAAATAAGTCAGTGTGTCCACAAGTTTGACTGGCGGTTTATTTTTAACCTACTATAATTTGGAAGTCACTAATTCTAATATTGCATGCTATTTAGTATGTATAGTATACAAATTTAAATTGTTTAAAATGTGTTGTTCATTAATTAAAAAAAAATCTAAATTCTGTGAGTAATCACATTCAGCTGCTTAATGTAATACTGGAATAATTGTTCTATTCAAGTCATTTTTTGTTCCAGATGGAAGAAAGGGACTTTTCAGAGTGCACCAAAAAAAATAATAATAATTTCCACAACAACAGGCTTGTATCAAATGTACCTATTTTCCCCACTTTAGGACAAAGTCCATATAAAATTTTAACATTTAGTTGCAAAGACTTGTTCTTTTGCCACCTTAAAAACACACACATACAACACCCATGATGTTTATTCTGTAACTTTATGCCTGTGTACAACTTTACTGAGAATAGAAGTCTTATCTTATCTGTAGCTCCTCCTACATTTGAATTCCACCTTTTTCCATATCCCAAGTGCCTCTGCTTCTGGGTAATGAGACTCACTAAAAACAGGGATTTAGTGATGTAAGTGTGCTAACCCCCATTGACAAACAGGTGTGGCTGCAACTGCACTGTGAATTGGGCCTCAGACTGTCCTCACCCGGTTTACCCTCAAAATTCATCCTAAGGTCTTTATCACCGCCCTCCGCCCTCTTTACACACACTCGTTTGCCATGTGTGCACATAGTGAAATGTGCAAAAAAAAAAATTTCAGTTGCATTGTGCATGTGCCCTGAGTGACCTCTGACCTTTCAGAATCCAGTGTTTCTGCACCAGCCATGTGCACCGGACAGATTGCATGCATGTCTTCCTGTCCCACCCGGCCACTCCCTGCGTGCCAGTCAGCACCGATACCAGCACATGTCCTTCTTTTTGTTAATAGAGCTGTAATGAGAAGATATCCTGTTCTTAGAGTTGAAAAAAATGTGGGAGAGGAAGTGCGATCAAAGATCAAGCGGTTCATTTAAGGACAACAATGATAGCAGTACAAACTAATCTGTACAGTTTGCACAACATGTACAGTTTTGAAGCCAGTCCTGATCAAGTATTAGCAAACCCTTTAATCCAAAACATGGTTCAGAGGGCTGAGCGC